TGACTTGATTTTAATTAGAATAAATAGATTCATTCCCATAAATATAATTCTTTTTTATCAATCTATTATAGCTACGTTATTTCACAAAATGTTTTCATTCATTGATCCACTCACATTATCATTGATGGTAATTGATTGAACTAGGATAAAAAATCAACCGTATTATAAAAGCCTTCAAATTTATAAAGATATCATAGAGAAAATGATATGAAAAACCATATCTCAAATCCATTTCAAAATGCACTATTACGATATGTTCTGTTTGGATGATTTTAAAGAGAAAAAATGTAAGTGATAAAGAATTGGATGATTTTGAAGATAAAAAAAAAAGTAAGTGATAAAGAAGTGTTAAAAAGAATGTCATTTTTAATTATTTGGAAAAGAAGAAAAGTGAAAAGAGAATGAAGATAAGTGAGACCCAAAAAAATCTCACAACATTTTGATGAAATTTTGTGAAAAATTAAAGAAAATAAATTGTAATTTTTTTTAAAATAACATATTCATATTTCTATGTAAATATATCATTAAGATAAATATGTCTTTATAATACACACTTGCTTTTCTTTTTCATTCATTTCTTTTTCACTTTTCTTAGTCATAATAATTTTAAATTTATTTGTATTCTTATAATACATGTGTACTTTTCTTTCTCTTCTTAATATTTTTCATCTTGTGCTCTTGGTTTGACACTTGAGGCATGAGATCCACACCTATTGAGAAGGGGAAAAAAAACTCTAACTCTACTCTAATTTTTTAAAAGAGTTTGGTGTGAAAATCTTAAAATACATAATAGACATGTAAACTAACAACGTACATTCTTATTTCTATTAGTCAAAATAACCTTAAATTTATTATAACACACATTTACTTTTTATAACACATATTTACTTTTCTTTCTTTTCTTAATATCTTTCATCAAAATATTAGTCTTGAACTCTTGGTTTGACATTTGAGGCATGAGATTCGTGCCCATTGAGAAGGAAAAAAAAATACTCTAACTCTATGAACATAAATATAATCCATATAATTTTCCAAAGTTAATAATTAGAAATTAATCTATGTTGACAGGAGGTGACTTCTGCTAATCAAATATTATTTTAACACGGACAAAAATCAAACATGGGAATATCATACATTTAAAAAGTAATAATTAGAATAAAAATAATGAAAATAAAAAATGAACTTAAGAAAAGAGAGCGATTAAATTATTTAATAAATTTTGTTTTTTGAAATATGTATTTTAAAAATGAGCAAAATATGCGTATGAAAAGAAAGCAATTCTCTCTTCTTTTTCTTATACGCTTGTTTAAATACTTTTATTGATTAAAGAGAGAAATAAGAAAAATACAAATGATAAAAATATATATATAAAAAAGTGAAATGACAATAACTAATGAAGAGAGTATTTTATATCATTTTATACAAACTTACATAAAAGATATAATAAGAAATTTTTAATTTTATAAATTTTTAAAGATGTCAGTGATATTGAACCCCATGAAAATAACGAAAATTAAAATATCATATTAAAAACTACTATAACGTTATCAATTAAACATGTATTTATAAAAATTTTTCGTCTGATAAAGACAGGTAATAATCATACTCAAGTCAATTAATTTTTTTTATATTTTAATAATAATTTAAGATTCATAATGAATGACAAAAAATCTTTCTTCAAATACTTAATTATTTTTTAAACTCAGCTACATACTTAATATTTGAATTCCATATCATTTCATTAAGTTAAAAAACTCCAAACTCATTGATTAATGTGTTTGGTGATTATAACTATTTTATGATTAATTGTTATATTAGTTGCATATTATTAAAAATCAAATTGTTAATTATGCGTGAATGCGCAGGTAACCTGACTATAATTATTTTTAACAAATCAGAGAGAAATGATTCGTTTAAAAACTTAAGCAAAGTTTTAAAGTAAAACTAATTATTAAACTGGTAAATTAAGGTTTTTATTTATTGTTCGCTACAAGAAGATGATTATATATAATTAAATTGTAAACAAATAGATAATAAATTGTATAAAATTATGCATGTATGTTAGTATATTTTTACTTCAATTTTTCATCTCTTTTCAGTTTTTGGACAGGATATTATTATTTTCTCAAATTTTACGTGACTTTTATCTCGTTTTTTCGCAAAAATGCGAGGATGGCATCTCGGCTTCTCCCCCTTTTCTTCGCCATTCTTTCTTTGCAAATTACCGAAAATAAACACTCAATTTCTTCACCTTTCATTGCTCGTAAACAGTAAATCACCGAAAAACACATTTAAAAAAAAAAGTCTGACACTATATAGTAAATAAAATAAAATATCCGAACATGTAACATAGATAAAAGTTAAGAGTACATGTACTATCTGAAAAAGAAAACAAAAAAAAGTACGTTGTACTCGCAATTCCCGTGTGAAATAGTAGGCTTTTTTGGCCATTCTAAATTAAAAAATAAATATTAAAAATTAAAATTTAAAAATTATTTGTTAAAACAAATAATTTGTGTAACATCGGATTAAAGAAAATGTCTCTGGAGGTTGACTTCTTCTGAATATAGAATATTTGAACAAAAATATCTCTCCCTTAAACGTCTTTTATTCAAAGTTTTTAATTTTTTTGAATGCTTAAGTTGTAATTTAATTTAATTTTAAAAAATATATTTATATTTTTATATCATTAAATTTTAAATTTATAAATTTAAATATTAATTTTATTATATGTACATATTTGAGGTAATATTTATAATTTTTTTGTATTTAATATCAATGACATAAAAGAAATTATTTCTTTTTATCACTAATTCTTAGCGATTTCATTATTTATTTATTTTTTAATGGGTTGTTGTGAGTTACAACAATCCTAGTTTTATTTATTTTTTATTTCTTTATTGGGTCATTATGACCCATATTTTTTATTATTATTAAAAATAGAATAAAAAGTAAGATTAAATAATTTAAAAAAATTGGAACCTTTTTAGTTACAATTTTTAAAAATTTATACTAGTATATAAATGGACCCTTTTAATAATTACATTGGTCTCTACATTTGGTAGACCATTATACATTTTTATTATTATAATTTTTTTTATCAAACTCAAATCTTGAACTAAAGACTTTCAAGTTTAAGGACCAACTAAAATATCAGTTGGATCAACATATTTTTATTACTTAATTTTAATTTAATTTAATTTTTAATAAATATGATATGATCCATATTGATCTTATAAAAAAATAGAGATGATATGAGTCATAATGACCAAATAAAAAAGTAGAGATACTATGAATCATAATGACCGAATAAAAGAAGTTTGAAAAAATAGAGATGATACAGGACATAACAATCTAATAAAAAAATATTTTAGAATAATACATGGTTCGAATGGCATGTCACTACAATCAATGACAATATTGACAAAGTTGCTATTGGTTGTAGTAACTCCAATATGACTTAAATGACTCTACTAACTTACAAAAATATAATATAGATGTCACTTAAGTCGTTATGACACATAACCATACTATGTAAAATAATTTTAAAGGCATAAATAACTTTAAAACAACTTCACTTATATAACTAGTTTCAAAAACTACCCTAGAAAGGTTAAAACGCCTTTAGACAAAGTTAAAAAAAAAAAGTGTGTCAATTTTAGCTAAATTCTAATATGACTCACTTATCCTACGAATTAAATGAGTTTGAGCTTAAATGAGTTGAATTAGTCCATTTAACCCACTAAAATTAAAAAATAAAAGTATATATTTATGTTTTATATATTTATCATTTAAAATTTTGATTGATATTTTTCTTTTTATATTTAATTCGAGTGAATAATAAACTTAACTTTTTGACAAAAAATATTTTTATTTTATTTATTAAAAATATAAATGTGTACTATTTTTTAATTTAAAAAATTTAGCAAGCCAACCTATCAATCTGTATCGAGTCGAGTTAGGTTAAAATTTTTATAACTTACAAAAAAGTGAACTAAATTGAATTAGTCTATATTTATAACAACGATAATTGTTATTGACAAATCTTAAATGTCATCCAAAAATGTCTTTTGATAATGATAAAATTATTGTCCTATAATGTAACAAAAAGTTCTGCAAAGACATTTATTGTCCCTTCCATAACTTTTATTTTAACAACAAAAATTGTTGCTTTCATATCAATATTTTTTTTATATTATCATTAGTAATTTTTTGTAACTATTAAAATCGTTGTCATATTTCACATATCTTATTATTATCATTGTGAAAAACACGTTAACAAGATTAAATGAATGTTCAGAATTGAAAAATAGAACAATAATTATGAATTAATATAAAATTTTAACATAAAAATTGAAGCAAAATAAATGAGTCTTTTCTTGTACGTTTGTTAGGAACAAATGTTTGATAGAGTAACATTTGCTAAAGTTGAGGAATTAGAAACATGACCTAGAATTCAAAGAGGTGGGATTGTGATGGTTGATTGCTTTTTATATGAAATAAAATTTTAAACATAATATTAAATATTAAAAATATTTTTTTTTGTAATACATAATAGGTAAAAATTCAAATAATATATATAAATAATTAAAAATTGAATTTTATAAAAATATGCATTATTAATTCACATAAAAAAAATCAATTTAAAAATAAAATGGTTGTGATTCAAGGAGAAAATTTAATGTAAACAAGATTTCAAATTAACTTGAGAGATAATTCTTTTTAAATAAAAATAATAATAAACAATTTAAAATTTTTAGAAAAATATAAACTTTATTTTCATTGATGAAATTATTTATTTTAAAATATAATATAAAGTTATCTCCTTATTAAAAGTGAAAATTCTATTTCAGTACAAGTTTTGCTATGCATAAAAATGCTTTATCATAAAAAGGAAAAATCCACAAAGATATTTATTTATTTATTTTTTTTTATAATCAAGAATTATTGGTCAAACTGAAGCAATCTGGCTATTATGAAGGTTTTTTCTTTCTTATCTTCTGTGCAACACTAAGATGAAGACTTTTTTTTGTTAGTTATAGAATATTAGAAATGAAAGTGAATGGGCCGTGGTGGGCTTGGGCCGAGCTACCGCGCATCACATAACAGTCTGTGGTGTGGTTGTCGGAGAAAGGAGCGAGATGGAGTGCGCGGCGAAGGGGAGCGGAAGACGGTGCGGCGGCGCCGCAACGAGACTCTGCGCGCGCTGCGAAGCCGTTGCTTATTGCTCTCTCTCTCACCAGGTATGCATCAACCTTTGCTCATGTATGGTATTAGGTTGTAATTTCTGTTACATATCCACACAGCTTCATCGCTTAGCGTCTTGTCCCTTAGATTGCACACTGGACTCGTCACAAACACGAGTGTGATAGGTTGCAACAACAGATGAAGAGCGTCGGAGTCGAAGAGCGTCGAAGTCCTCAATGATTTTCCCTTCTCTTTCTCTCAAGAAGCCACGTTTCAGGTGATCACTGATCTACTTCCGTCCTATTACTGCTTTTCTGCACAATAGAATTATTTGATTTTAATTTTTCATGGTTTAATCGATTTTCATGTAAATTTAACAGGTTTGTGCGAAGCAGGAAACTAGGTGTTCATTTTTGAGCATGAGAGGCCTTCATCAAGTGGGAATGTGGATGCATGAATGCCACTGTGGGGCATCATCTGCTTCATTTGATTGTTTAGGGTTTGCTCTTATTTCTTTCATATTCTGAAACTTCTGTTAATTAAATTTCAATTCATATCAGTTATGAGTTCTTGTTTGTGTTGAAGAATAATTAAGTGTTGAGCCATATATAATACATCTAAAGATTATTGTGCAGTTAAAAGTTACAACCTTTTTAGTTAGTTTATTAATTTAGAGCAAACTTCAGGTTTAGAGTTAGATATTTGTTTTTGCAGGTTAAACAATGGTTGGGATCTCCCGAGTGTTTTATGTCCATGTTGTGGTAACTTTATTTCCCAAGCTTCTGATTCTTCAACTTTCCGTTCCTATTTTTTTTTAAATATTTAGGATAAAATGCAACATATAAATGGTCAGGGCCTAACTCCCCGGTATCAGAGCAGTTGCATAGTTGGAGAGACTACTATAAGTGGAGATGCATCCCGCTAGACTCGCCTATTGCTTTGCTTCTTCAGTGGGTATGGTTGTGTAACTTTTTGTAACAATTAGCCCTATGAAATTCTATATTTTTTATTATCATTTCAAGTTTTCAGTGTATGTTAAATTTGTTATCTTGTTTTGCTTGTAAGCAACAATGATGATGTGTGCAGTTGGCTCTTTTATTTTGTTTGCTGCTAAAATACAATGAGGGTGTTGGCTTAGCATTTTTTTGAACCCTCAGACTTTACTAAATAAAATCTCCAAAAGTTTTTTCCCCCATTAGTCACCGTAATAAAAAAGAAACTGCCACTAAATTTACTGCCTTTGGCACAAATTATAAGCATATACACGATGTTACAGATGTTTTAATCATTACTGTTTTTTTTTCTTTAATTATATGATTTTTTAGAATTAAGTGATTGCCTCTATTTCAGCCACTTACAATATATCATGCTGCTCGACTTGTTGGAATTACAGACTTGAATCCTGAAATCAGTGATAAGTTGTGCATACATTACCTTGGTATATCATCACCTATAAATTTTCTCTAAGCATTTTAATTTCAAATTTGAACTATTTTTTATTAGCCCTGTTTTATGCTTAGGAATGTGACCTGTATTGTGTAATTAGTCTCTAAATTCTTTGATCATTTTATTCATATATGAACGTATCTGAGGCCTAGGGATATTTATATTCGGTCAAACTTTCAAAAAAACAGAAATACTTGAAGAAAAAGATGCTACCATGAAGTTTGTTACTTTCAAAGAAGCAACTCAAAGAAAAAGATGCAACCATGGAGGTTTTTTCATTGCTTCATTTTATTCCACCCCCCCCTCCAAAAAAAGGAAGGAAAAAAGTTTGCTTTACTGTAAGAAAATGACTCAAATTAGAAAACTTGGGTTGATTGGGGGCTTTACCTTGAAAATTGATTTGCTTTAAGTTGAGATGATTACACTTTCACTTGATTGATACCCATATACACATGATTTCTTGAAGTTAGAATTATCTTACTAGTTTGTAGGTAAGATTAATATTTAATTGGTAACTTTGTCTTCATGAAATTTTATATGGAAGGACCTGAAAAGGAGCTGCTACAACTTGCTGTGTTTGGAGAACTACTGGCACTCTTCCCTGGTGTACGGATTCATATAGAACTTGTTGGACCTGCAATTCCTCCTCAAAGGTCTGATACATTCGCATAAGTCATTGGATTATCATCTGATACTGGTCGTTACTTGGTCTAATTATTTGTCCTTCCTGCTTCCCAATAAACAGGGATGGTGAGAAGATTCACATTTCTAAGTATCCTTGTTGCAATGAAGACAAGTGTGAATGCAAAATAGCAAGTAAAAATACATTCTTAGGAACACAATCTGGTAGCACTTCGGCATTGACATTGCAGCTTTGGCAAGGATTCTATCATGACCGCTATAGAGATATTGTTAAGGTAACATTTTGCAACATCTGAAAGACATCATGATAAGATGGACCTAGGGAGGTCCAAAAGAGATAAAATTAAATGGTTGAAGGACTTTATAGGTTGGTCTTACAATATTAGGTTATATTTGTATTTTAGTTTTATGTTATTTTATATTTCCTAAAATAGGATGATGACACTTGTAGGATCATCCTTAGTACTATTAGGTTATAAATTTGTATTCCTTTGGCCGTTGGAGGCATCAATGAAAAATATGAATGTTATCTTCATCTTTTTTATAGCTTTCTTATAGCCTTTTAATGGTAAATTTTAGGAGTAGTGATAGTATAGCTATTGATTCTCTATGAATTGGGGCTTTCGTTGAGAGTTGGAATATGGAAAGAGCTATTTTTAGGCTGAATTAAGGTGCAAACTGAATATTGATGGGTGAGTGAAACCATCGATGAGAAAAGCTGTCATGGATGTAGGCCCTTAAAGGGGTAACAATGTTAGGAATCCCACATTAAGTAGAATATGAAATTCAATGTGGTATTTGAACCTTAAGGTTCTCCTACTTGATGGACTAGTCTTTTGAGTTGGACTTTCCTCATGTGCTTAAGTCCTAACAAATCAATGTACAGATTCTAATGTTGAGTACTCGTTCCTAGTACATTGATGTCATTTAATGTAATCTTGCTTGATTTAATTTTGCCTGTTTAATCCTCCAAAATCCAAAATTTACCTTAAATAATGTTATACTTACAGGATTCCTTTCCTCACCTAGTAATTGCTCCAAATGGTGGCATTGCTGTTTATTCCAGTTGGTTACCAAGTATTGTACGTCTCTCACCTTGTGCTTGTCCTATATTTAGGTGTTAGTTTAGTTTTTATACTGCTTTTTGACAAACAAAAAAAATGAGAACAGTAAGACTCGTTTACAGCACTTTTTTTTTCCCTTCTTATTTTCTTTGTTTCCTATCAAAATTTCAGGAGTTAATTGAAAAGATTGATGTCCCAGCTGTTTTTACTGATTATTGTGAGGAAGCTTGTCATCTTGCAGCAAGTTGCATCAAGACTGTATCTGGACGTCCTCTTAAATTGCCTGTAAGATTCTTATTTGTACTTAGCTGTCCTGTCTCGAAAAATAATTCTTTTGAAGTTAAAACAATCATTTAGTTCTCATAGTTATAGTTGACATTCATTTAAGAATCCGTTCCTGTATGAGATAAACTTGAATTTTAGTTTCTATTCTCCATTATTAGTACAAACTGGTTTCTGTTGCTACTGTATTTCTAAAGATGTAGTTCCTCTGTGCCCATGTTAGCAGGGACCAGTGTGTACTAATAAAGGTGTTTATAGGGATTAAAACAGAAGTTCGTTTTAATGCGAGGATTGGTTCGTAAATGTTACAAGTGTCATATATCGGGATCAAATGATTATTTTAATTTATTTATTTATTTTTTTATCTTCAACATAACCTTTTAAGTATCCGTTGCACTATATGTAGGTTCAGTTAAATCCATTCAGGCAGCCCATGGCTGTGGAAGACAGTGTTCTGTTGCTTCCCTGCTACTCAAATTGCTTTCTTTTTGGAATGTAAAGAGTTACTCAATATCTTGGATTCGGATTCCCTGACTTTAGGGCGCCAACATGGTGAGTTTAGTTCATTTGTGGTGGCAGGATATGTAAGTGGCTTGGGACTTGTATAAGTGGATATCAACTTAAATAAGTTGCCAGCAACTTAAGTCTAAAATGAACTAAAATCACTATGACTTTCTCTCAAAGTGACCTAACCTAATCCATTTATGAATTTCTTGGGCCCCTATATATCGGCCGGAGCAACGAAGATAATTGTATCAGAAGCAAATGATTGCTTTATCAAATACGAATGAAAGAAATGGTAGGCAAATAACAATTGCAAGCTTTGCAAATATTTCTCACAATCAATAGAGACCCTTGGTTGGGCCATTCAGTAGTCGCTTCAATCATTCTAAATATTTCACTTGGGTAATAATTCTCATGCGTCGGATATGGTAGTTTAATTGACAGTATACTACTTTTAGGTCTGTGACAAGGTCTTATCTAGATAGTAGATTTGATTTTAAGAATCAAAAGATCCTTCTTCTGTTGCCTCCTATATATACTATACTGAACAACAAAATTCTCAGCCAAAATTTGTGACAGACCTTTTTTTTAATATAATTTTTTTGTTGTTATTTACCCTCTTTGAACAGTGGATATAAGCTTCAAAATACCAAGAGTATTTAAATTTTTAGAAACGTTACTAATATATTTCTTTAATATATTTTTATTATTGGATGAAATTTTATGATGACTTCACTTGTAAAAGGTATTCAATGTTTGAAATGTGTTTTTTATTTAGTTATGGCAATGAACTGTGATGTGTTTGGTCTGTCCTTCCATGCTGGCCATGTGAAGTCATCATAACTGGGCTAATTTAATTGCTGTCAACATTTTTTTTAGTTCAGTCCAGTTTTCAATAGGTTAATCTGGTTGGTCCTTGGGCCCATGTTTTTCTTTTATTGGTGCGTTATAAACAATGTCTAAGTTCAAATATCTCTTATCGTAGTATTAACGATGAATAAAGTTTATAAATCGAACATATATGACTAATTGTAGTATTTTTTTAAAGAGTTATATCGTAGTTCATCAGTTTGCATATTAACATAAGATTGCATATAATATAATTTATCATATTCATTGTCATCTTCCTAAATGATTTATTATTATCTTTGATATAATTATTTTCATTTGGGTCGTCAATCAAACTCATTATATCATTTATTATGTCACAAGAGCTCATTATATCACGGGAAAAAAATGGGATTTTATCACACACAAAAGAGCACATTAGGTAACATATTAACATATAATTGCATCCAGTAAAATATTGGAGCTTATCAACTTCATTTTTAATTTTCTTCCTCGATCAAAATGATAGCATTTTGATGATTACTATTATCAACTTTGATTGTTATATCATTTGCATCATCAACAGAAATTGGTTACCTTCTCTGACCTTGCAAGAAGAAGAAAAAAAATGCATTTTCCTAATCTAAACCATCCAATTACCAATAAATAAATAAATAAATAGTAAAAATTACCCGTCCAACTTTATCATTTTAATATCCCATGCGTTGGTAACATTCAAAGCATTTCTTTAGATGTGGCAAAACAGGTGCTGGTTATGGGATACTTTAAGCATACTTGTTTCTTTAATGAAGCAAGATGACTCAAATGGGACGCTGACTGCTGGATACTTTTCAAATATAGCGCTATTTTTTATTTTTAATTAGCAATCTGCGTAGTTTAAATTTATAATCGCTATCTAAAGTTCATTTCGGCGAGACGCAAAATATAAAATTATAAGTTCTTCAAACTCATAAATGATTTGCGAAACTGGGCAGTCTAAGGAAGTTAAAGTACGTTAATAGAAGAATACGAAGTTTTGGTTTACATAGTTTTTTAATTATCTATAACAATAATAATAGAGATATCTCATTTTTGTGTTTGCATTTTTTTACCTTTTAATTTTTTTAACTAATTTGTTTAACTACCCTTTTTTTTATATTTTTTTTAATCTTTAACTAATTTGTTTAACTACACTTTTTCGAAGTTCACTGCACACTTTTTTAATTTTCTCATTTTTATTTTATTTTCTTATTTTTTTAATAGCGCTGGAGTGTCTTATTTTCATTAATTATATATAATCTATAACAAATCTATAATAATAATAAAGGTAATACACAATTTTTTTGTACATTTTTTTTGAACCATTTTACTCATTTATACCTCCTAACCCACTCACAGAGATTTGATTTTCTAAACTTTTCTCGCTTTATAAGCAATCATCCTTGTATTTTTAATAACCACCAACTATTATATATATTTTTATTATCTATTATTTTTAATAATAATTCACTAAAACACGGAGTATTTTTTGTATGCTAGTATTTCATAATATAATTACCTTATTTTTTTTTTAAATAAATATACAAAGATATGAATACTGGAGTATATATATATATTTTTCCTTTCTAATTTTAAGAATAAAAATTATTTACTAAAAAATTTGTATATTTGGTGAACTTGTTTTAGTGATAAACTTTTTTTCTACACTAAGTATATATATATATATATAATCGTAACCAAATCTTTTGAGATTAAATTAGAAATTACTATATTATTTTCTTTGCTAACTTTTTTTTATTTTATATCTTTCTTTATCCACACAAACAGTTGTTAATTTTGAGTAGAAAGTTAAGTATTAAAATAATTAATTTTATACAAAAGTAATATTTTTAGAGAATTCAAATAAACAAGTTATCTTAAAGTTTGACAACTAATTTAACAGCATAGCATAATGATTATAGATGCTGTTGATTAAATGAGTAGGAATGTAACCGGTAACAAAAAAATAGATTTGCCCAATGCAAATGCAATGTACTCTGTTTCCGGTTGAACAAGGAAGGAGGAAAGTTATCAACACGTGGCTCGAATAGCAATCGAATCACGTTGAAGCTACTAGGAATATACCGAGACATATCTACTCAACTCAATTGTGAAGCATTTGCATGATCCCGTGCATTCCACGTGTGTTGGAAGCGTCCCCACCTGCACCGTAACCACCCGGAATAATTCCCTAACTACCACCACCACTCTCCGTCGTCGTCTCCATCATTACTTTACTCGCAATCCCTGAATGGACCAAATCCCCTAAACCCTCCCGATTCGAACCAAATTCATGTCTCCTTCTCCTCTTCTGGCGCTCTGGATTCTCTTTCTAGGGTTATCAATACCATCCCCTTCAACCCACGCGCTTAAGGTTCCGTTCAGAGTCAACGATGTTCTCCCCGTTCTCCCCCACGGAATCTCGTGGCCGGTCCTCAACAGTTTCCACAGCGCCGTCGATTTGCTCCCTTCCTTCGTCGGTTCCTTGACTCCCCACAACGCTTCCATTCAGTGGAGAGGCGCTTGCTTTTACGACAATGAAGCCGCGCTCGAGTTCACCGCCGCTTCCGACGCCCAAGGTTTGGGCGGCGCCGTGCTCCATCTCAAGGTATGCCTTGTTCCTGCTGCTTTTAGCTTGATTTGATCTTCGCGTGTTGTTGTGAGTGCAGTTAGTTGATGCTTTTGATTGGACTTGTTTGTGTTGATTGTCTTTGACTCTGTGGTGTTTGTGAATCGAGACTATCGTGTTGTCTTTCTGTGTGACAACGTGTTTGTGAGTGGAAATTTTGTTCCGGTTATGGCCCCAAGAAACCCCGGTGAGCTCCACTATGTGTGACCTCTCGAAACCACTGCATTGAGCTGAAGGATCAGAGGTTCATTTTCTATTGTTCGATCAAACAATAAAACAACATATTTATTCTCAAGCATCAAGTCTGAAAGGTGTGGACGCTTGCTTGGTCAGACAATCCTCAATTGGATTGGGCACTATTGTAATTGTTTTTATCTTTCTAAAAGACCTGAAAGCAATATTTGTTCTCTTTTTATTTCATGATGACTCACTGGCAGTATGATTCATGTTTTGTAAACAGATTCAGCTCTTTTACAATGAGCAAGAGGAAATTAAGTAATCTTGGTGTGTGTTTGGATATTAGGTCTGTCCAACTAAATCCACTGTCAATGTCAATCTGAAAATCACATTGTTTTTACGATGGTGCATTGCAAAGTGTTAAATCTATGTTTAAAACCAATCAAATGGGTTTCTAAATACACCATTAGTCATCAATGACAAAATTAATGGTTCATATTCCAACACTTGCATGATTTGTTATGGGCGCATAATATCAACTTCTGATATTTTCATCAATGGCTGATATTACTTTATCCTCTAAAAGACAGATTGGTAGTCACTAGACAGGGTACTAGTTAAGAGTAAGGTTCATTTGAATCCAATTATCAGGTGAACAGCTATCACTTTGTGGTTGTGTTTGTGATGAATTCTTAATAGTGTAACTGCTGGTACCTGAATGAATTTTGTGTAACTGTAAATTCGGAGCAACCATTTGTTTTCTTCTTTCTCTTTCTGGGTTTGATACTTGATATTGATAGGTTAGTATTTGGTACTATTAGGTATTGGGTGCAGCTCTTGGTTGGATTGCATAATGAGAAACTTATGTATATGTAGTTTGTTGTCCCCTTTTCCACCCTCTGTATAATATGATTTATAATATTGGCTTTTTACAGACAGCAGCTGCACACAGCTGGACCTGCATGGATCTGTATGTTTTTGCAACACCATATAGGATTACATGGGACTACTATTTCTCTGCACGAGAACATACTTTAAAGTTTGATTCGTGGGAAGAGCCTGCAGAGTTGGAATATGTAAATTTCTCTTTTTCTTTATGTAGTTTTCTGTTTTGTTTTAATCTTTTTAGTATTGAATCACAACTACAGAAAGGTAATATTCTCACTAAATTATCAGGTAAAGCAGCATGGGGTTTCTGTGTTTCTCATGCCATCGGGGATGCTGGGAACGCTGCTTTCTCTAATTGATGTTTTGCCTCTATTCTCTAACACTGCATGGGGTCAGAATGCTAACTTAGAATTCCTAAAGAAACACATGGGAGCTACATTTGAGAAACGCAGTCAGCCTTGGCGTGCTACTATTGATCCTGCAGATGTTCATTCTGGAGATTTTTTAGCTGTGTCTAAGATCCGTGGTAGGTGGGGAGGTTTTGAGACACTGGAAAAGTGGGTAACTGGTGCATTTGCTGGTCATACAGCAGTTTGCTTGAAGGATGAAATGGGAAATTTATGGGTTGGTGAATCTGGCCATGAGAATGAAAAGGTAAAAAATTTGGAGAATTTTACTGTGTCTGTATACAACACAACACACACAAATATATATTTATACACATTACAGACTTATCCATATTTATACACACAGACATATGTTTTCTAAAATTTTGCATAACGGCCATAACCTCATAACACCATCCTAGTGAGTAATGAATTTTGTAATTGATTTGTAGTTGCTGAGGGTAGTGACTAACCTCCATTCTGTTTTTATTGATTGTATTAACATAAAACAGGATTATGTTATGTTGATGGTATACCTTTGCAGGGTGAAGAAATCATAGTGGTAATTCCCTGGCATGAATGGTGGACATCAGCTCTTAAAGATGATTCCAACCCACAGATAGCCTTGCTTCCTCTGCATCCAGAGTTGCGTTCAAGATTCAACTCCACTGCAGCATGGGAGTATGCACGGAGCATGTCTGGCAAGCCATATGGTTATCATAATATGATATTCAGTTGGATTGACACAGTAGCTGACAACTATCCTCCACCTCTTGATGCTCACTTGGTATTCATCTTTTTGTTATTTGTATAAGATTAACATAAAAGCATGTGACTGGACCCATATATATTCAGAATATACTGCATTATGAGGAGGCTACTGTATTATTTTTTTGATGGGGCAATTCGAACTGATTACTAAGAAGCAAATTTGAATTATGACTGGGTTGATGGTAAGAAATATTAAGTACATAGGGCTTTCAGAAGCAACTTAAAGAGACATAGGATGGAAAGATGACGATGGGATGGGAGGAATATTTAGAATTAAAGGATTAGGTGATATTATTCTTTGCCGCTTTGGTGGTGATGTATATTTTTTCTTTTTGTTACAAGAAAAGGTTTGTGTGTTCTTTCCTACACTTCTGCAATGCTGAGCTACAAATCACAACCCTCCCTTTGCCCCTTGGTTCTCAAATTCAAAGGAAACATCTACTTTATAGTTTTTATCATATTAATATTGTAGGTTCTGGTTCTAAGAGCAGTCGAAGTCTGTTTCTGAATGACATGTTCCATGCAGGTAATTTCTGTCATGTCTATGTGGACAAGAATGCAGCCAGCTTATGCTGCAAACATGTGGAATGAAGCGCTGAATAAGCGGTTAGGGACTGAGGTATGTCTTGAATCTGGTTTATAATACAAATTCCCATTAATATGTTGTCCTTTAATTTCCTTTTCTTTATGTGGAATAATTCACAGTTAAAACAAGAAGTGGACGTCACATGTACTTTGAGTTGTAGGTTTCTAATGACCTCAAAGTGTTTCTGGTGCTATTCTGTACTTCTTGATATGTATGGAAAGACAAACTACAAAAGATTCAGGACATAAATTCTGTTTCACAATGCAAAATTGGTCCATGAGGACTTTGTGAAAAGCTTGACTCTGTTTCCATAAGGAAGTGATTTTGTCAAATGTGAATTTTTTTTTTACCTTTTTTAGTTCAGTTGGGCTTAAATTTTGAGTTTTTATATTTATGATATACACAGTATTCTCGATTTTATACAATTTTTTTTAATTTTTTTGCATTGTTTTTACCAAGCCCCAAATGATTAAATTGTTCTTCATTACAAATTCCATTGAATATATTTATCGGGTTTATTTTGGTTTATCATGTACTATTGATTTTTGTATTGTTATTGAGATCTAATCTGTTTGTGCTTTCAGGGTTTGGATTTGCATGACATTCTGGTTGAGACTGAGAAGCGTGGGATAGCTTTTGATCAATTACTTACCATTCCCGAACAAGATGAATGGGTATACAGTGATGGGAAATCAACAACATGTGTCGCCTTCATTCTTTCAATGTATAAAGCGGCTGGAATTTTTGGTCCCATTTCTAGCTCCATTCAAGTAACTGAATTCACTGTAAGCCAAGCTTCCTTAGTGATTAGATGAACCTCTGGGCGTTATAATTGCCTTTTCTTACGATTCTGTTGTTATTTGCAGATTCGTGATGCATACATGCTTAGGATTTTTGAGGATAACCAAACACGTCTACCAATATGGTGCAACAACGAGAATGATCGGCTTCCATTCTGCCAGATTCTTGGTGAATACAGGATGGAATTCCCTGGCTATAACACCTTGGATCCATATGCCAATATGAACGAGAACTGTCCTTCTCTTCCTCCAACTTACGATAGGCCATTAAAATGCTAGACCCGTCCATCCATCATTCTCGTTTTCTGATTTGCCTGTTATCCGCGACTCGAAGCACCAAATAGTTCGCTATTGTGGAATTGTCTATAAACCGAGGGAGAAAGTGCTGTATTGCATTTTCAAGTTGATTAAGGGACACTGTATATAAGAAATTTATATTGGTGGGTATGGTTTGATGTTATAGACTTAATGATCAATTGTAGGAGGATAATTTCCTGTGTAATGACGAACTATATTCTCCTACCCCATGCGTCAGGAAACATATCTATGAAGACCATTATAAATATCATGGCTTGAACTCATGGTTTAGAATTGGAGTTGTTTTTTTTTTTTTTTTCGAAATGAAATTTGATTATCACCTGTGATTTGGTAAAAGATAAAATAGCAAGATGTTTAGTAGATTTATGCCGCCTTGGGGATGATGCCTCAGTGACTACATAATGCTTTGACAACTAAATGAATTATGTGGCTTGGAAGGCATAAATAAAACTGCGTTAAGGTGTTGGTGTTTATACCTGGAATACGTCTTTCATTATATAGACAAGGGATTGTTGTTTTTTTATTTATTTTTTATTTTTTTAACTCGATGCTTTGAGATCCAAGTTACTTTCTGACTAGTTCACTTTGAGATCTAGGTTGTTGTTTGACTAATTCACTCTCAGATGATTTGTTTGCTCCTAGACATGCCCACTCTTCAGTTAGCTTATGATCAACTCGTTACTTCTTTCAGTTTGCTTTTGAATTTGAAGACTTCATCTACTTGGAGTGCCACCCCCTCTCCTAAATTTTGCTCATACACCAAAAAAAATAGTCAGCCGGGGTTGGGTTTTGAATAAGGTTATTTCTGTATTCAAGATCAAGAACGTTACCTGGAAAGAACAAGAGAAAGAAGAAAAAATTTCTAAACAATGGTTCTCATTTCCTTCTCATTGTATTACATGACCTTACACAAGGAAAGGCTAACAGAAACATAAATGAAGGAATCTAATAACGAACGAATTCCAATGGGCATCATTTGGGCCTTGTGCTAAGATCAGCGGGTCCATCCTCCTTAAGTCCAACATTAACATTTGAATGAAAGAAAGAAACGTGTAGCAGCAACTGAGAGGGAATTAGAAGAGAGAAGATGGACATAATACAATGGACAGTTGGTAGAAAAAGGTTAGAAGGAATAGGAATCGTAGAGCAAGAAGAGAGAAAAAGTATATTGAGGGGCCATTTTGGGTGGCTAGCCTGAGCGAGAATGCGTCTTCCTCAGGAAAAGGGTTTATTCAGTCTGATTTAGTTCATCATATGCTATATATCCGATTTCCTATTCATTTTGGTTGGGTCCTATCACAACCTATCATTCCCTGTCGATGGAGAAACACCTTGTCCTTAAGGCGATCTTTTGTAGAAAGAGAAGCCAATCTCCCCACGTTGTGTCCTCAGGCTCAGCTGATAAACTAGTCCATTCAACGAGGACCAAATGCCTTGGGGGTGCAGAAGTCAACTTTAAAAATAGAATGCTAAAAAAATACAAAAATTTGTTAATGCAAATAACATATCACTAAATAACATTAAAATTTAACGATTAACAAAAATTAAATTAACTATAAAATTAAAATCTCGTAGATTTAACAAGAAATTAAATATGTCTATTTTAAAATAAAAAGATTAAAATTAAAAATTGATAAAAATAAAAAGATAAAATGTGAAATTTATCTTGCATACTTTTTCTTAACATTGTATATAAATATAAATAAGATGAGCATTCTCTTACTTAATTTGATCTTTTATTAGGATAAGAAACAGAAAAAATGTCATGGTTAATTACGGGTATAATGATAAATAAGGAAAATAATGTATTACAATGGAACATTCCTATTCCTATTTCTTGACGGACGTTTGAAACGATGGCTGCAGCCAAAAGTTAAAGAAAACAACTTTGAAATTGTTGGCCACTTCAATGCCGACGTGTCTGTATATATATTTGTGAATGTGATGACGACGTACATGATTCCGCACCAGTAACGCCATCTTTGGGCTTTAGCAATTCATACCAATTGAGTTTTCTGTATAAAATCAATGTAAAATGGAATATACTTCAAAAACATAAATTATTATTATTATTATTCAAAAACAATTACTTTATAATTAATGACAAGATGTCATTGAAATTTGTAAAATGAAAAAACGAGTATGATATCTTTCATATAATTATTTTGATTTTACGTCGTTTAGGCCCAATTTTTCCCCCAATGATTAATGTTTAAACTTAATTATATAATTGCGAGCAGAATTAGTATTGGACCTAGCAGCAGACAAAAAATAAAAAAAACTACTATCTCCTGTCCTAACATACGACATATATCATCAACATAAGAAAAAGTCATTAAATTGATTATTTTTAATTAATTTTATCATAAATTTTAATTTTATTAAAAAAATACTCTTTATTTTATATACTTATTATATTTAATGTTATTTATAAATGAAAAGATAAAAATAAAATTAACAATTAATTAAAGATATAAAAGAAATTAACAATTAATTAAAGATATAAAAGAAATTTATAAAATGCAAATTAATGATTGTCGTTTATAATTAAAATAAGAGATAATAATATACATAGTCATAAATTTTTATTATTTTTCAATGTTTAAACGTAATAATTTAATTTAAATATACTTTAAACGTAAAAAAAATTTATGCCTTTATCTAATGATATACATCATTTAATGACTTTATACCTCAAATATAAATGTAATCAAATTTGTTTTAATACCAAGGTTTTTTTTTCTTTTCATGGATATAAATCACATAATATTTCAAAATTAACAATCATAGATTAATATGTATTTATGAAGCGTAACTTTTATTAAAAATAGAGACAAGATTTTTAGTCAGGAAAGCCAAATAAGAAAAATTATACAATTTTTAAATATATAATATTGATAATTATTTTTAAATGAAAAAATTATGAGTTTATAATAAAAATTTATAGTTTTATTAACTATAGTTTTCACATAAAAAACTTATTTATTATATTCTAAAAGTTTATGCTTAAATTCACTTATAGTCTTATAATTTCATTGTGTAATTTTGATTTCCAAATTTTTTTATTATCGCAAATTCTTATACTTTTTAAAATTAAACACTATTGATTCAAATCATTATAAATTCGAAAGAAATGTTGTATAGAACAATAGTCATTGTCTTATAAGTATAATAGTGTATGGACTTAATTATGCCCTTGAAACTAGAATCACATTGAACTCATACAAATGCAAGAAAAAAGAAGAAGAAAAGGGAGAGGAAAGATTACTTATAATAGTAGTAAGCTTATCCATTAATAAATATTAATAGTAAATAATTTTTCTCAAATTAATATAAATAAATGGAAATCGAATAAAGTGATTTGATTGTTAATGCAACAATTTATAGTCTTTAAAATAATAATAGATTATTTAAGAAAATACTATTAAAAATAAAGTTAATAATATTTAAATATTTTTAAATAACAAAAGTATATAATTATACTTATAATAAATATTATAAAAGGAAAATAATACATAAAGAGAAATTAAAAAAATTATCTTCACAATAAATTAATACTATACAAAGAAATAAAATATTTTATAAAAATATATCACTTGAATACTATTTTTTTTACCATCAGATTCTAAATAAAAAAATCTTAATATTAAAACATTATATATATATATATACATATATATTAAAATTTCAAAAATTATAAAAAGTCAAGGCCTCACTCCTTTGATATATTTGTTTCTGATTTTCATTAATTAAACATTATTTTAATAAACACGAGAGTTGAACTTGGGAGCATTGGATTAACTTCTTCATGTCCTGAGATGCAAACTTTACAATTAATGAATTAAGAGATTGGTTAGATTCAGGATAACATAAGATAAAACTTTGGAAGATGTTTTTGAAAAAGATGATTAGAAAAACGATTAAAAGAAAATCAAGGGAAATGTATAACATTAAGTTCGTTTTTTATCTACATTATAATTTTATTTATTTATTTTTAATTTTTTGCATTTTTCTTATTCAATTTGATATACCTACAATGTCATACATATCTCGCGATCAAAAGCTCTAAATTATTTTACATAATATGCTTGAATTCAAAAAATTTCAAAATTTAAATCTAATTCAATTTTGATGTTAAACATGAACAGATTATAACATGTAGCTTTCAAAGTTTTGATACCAATTAAAGAAAGAAAAAAATATAACATACGATATAATCATATAGATATAGTATTATATTAAGATTAACATCCTCTATCACGAATTAAAAAACATCAAAATTATGTAAATTACAATGAAGAAGGGTTTATTTTTATTCAAACCTCATTAAATTTTCTTTCAATCCCTCAACATCATCAAAGAAAAAGGATACACTCTTCTACAAATTAATCCACTAAGTCATGCTTCGTTAATCATGGTTCAACTTCAACCATAAAATCCTGAACTAATATCTTCTTTAATTCAATGACTGCTCGATTTTAAAACTATTGTTACAAAGTCAGAAGTTTACATTGACGTGTAAAAAAAAATCACATATATCACTTGCTTCTTGACTGACGTTGGTAAAATTAAAGCGCCTTAAACCACATAAGAACCTTCAGAGATTGGTCTTGCGGGGCTGCCTCATCATTATTGTTTTCTTTGTTGTTTTTTTGACACCAAGTTTTCTTTGTTGTTATGAGCTACTGTTGTCGTATTATGTAAATCCATATATTTTCTTCTATTTACTTAAAGGTGAAGATAATTACTAACATTACTAGAACAAGTGAAATTAAGTTTGGGTTTAAGGTTTTATATTTTTATGAACGAAAAAAATTTGAGAGAAAAGATTCTATTAAAAATATTTTTTTTATCAATTAAGATTAATTATTGACAAATTAAGTCATATACTTTGCATGCATAAAACAAAAATGAAAGATGAAGTCTATATTGAATATTGAAAATTAAATTAAAACAGAGACCATGCATCAAATATAATACTCATGAAAAGAAAAGTGTTCACCTATATCTTCTAGAGACAGGACTATAAGTAGAATTATTAAATCAACCAACTACATAGGTCATTATTGAATTAAATTGCACTAAGTTTAGCCCGACTATTCAAGTTAAATTTCATCCGAAATAACTTGTTATTATTTTTACCTCCAATAAAGTTAGGTTTGTTAATTAATTGTAAAAATCTATTAAAATTATTTCAAAATTAAAAAATCTTCATTTTTAGCTTTTAAAAAAAAAAAAAAATTTGTAAGAAAGTAACAGTATGATGCGGGCACCAAACTCGTTTTAGTTTGATTTGAATGCCTGCTGTGGCAAAGTAAAATAACACTTCTCTGACATTTGTTGGTGTCCAAATTGAACCGTATAATTCTAAGTTCTAAGGGAATATGTCAAAGTCAAACAACGCCCTCCTCATTTTCATCATTCAATATAGATTCTAGACATCAGACATCACGTTGGTTCCTCCATGTATTAAACTACATTATTTATTATTTATTATTATTATTATTTATTTTTTAATTTTATAACACAACTAATATAACCTGTACCGGGAGGACCCTATCGGTCACGTTGACCAACACGTGCCGTTCCGTCAGACATCCATGCGAACTGGACCATACCCAAGGCTGACGTTAGCATCGGCCCGGCTGAAGGCCGATGCAAACAGCATGATGCATCCCCGCATCTTACATATCGGCTCGGCCCAATGCCGATCCGATAAGATACCAAGTAAACGTTTACCGGCCCGGTTAACAGTCGAAGACACGCAACCTCCCAAGCATTAGCCTGTCGGCTCGGCAATGTGCCGATAGGTTAAACGGGTTATAGTACAAATCATAGTTAACAAGGACAAGTGCCTAATTAAGACATGATTAGCTGATTAGCATCGTATTACCTAATTTGGTAAAGATTAGAATAGGCCCACCACGTTCAGGCCCATGTCAGGTATTATAAATAGGTCACACGTAACGAGGTACGTCACTGTTCATTAATTATCCTAGAATATCGTGCTTGTCCTGACTTGAGCGTCGGAGTGCCTTTTGCAGGTACCTCCCCTCTCTGAAAAATCCGTTTGAAGTATCCGTTCGGCCCTTCTTACCAAGAAGACTACGAGTGTACTCTCGAGCAGGTACATAACTAATCCCACATTTCTTGTCTTCAACGAACAACACAAGCCAACGTCGACGTTTCCAATGGTGGCTTCTTCCAGGTGCTTACCATTCCGCGGGAAGAGAATCTTTCATTCACACGACACAGAACTTTTCAACGCATGCATAATGCATTCATCATCATCATCAAACACTTCGCTCAGCGAATACTTCAAGGCTCACACTACACCATATATATGCATCTTACTAAGTCCCTTGCTTATTCTTCTTCTTCATAATTTATCCCATTATTTCCATTGTTTTTTTCATTAACCAAACAAAACATGATGAACTCTCACCAACACCAACGTTGTCTTCTCTTCTCTATTGCAACGTTAATAGTATTTTCGACCACAACATTACGAGTCTCGGCGCGTTTATTCCCCAACGTGTCCTCAATCCCAAAGACGCTGCCGAACCACGCGCCACGGAACGCGTGGGACGCGTATCGCAACTTCACCGGATGCCAACGTGGCAAAACCTACGACGGCCTCTCGAACCTAAAAAACTACTTCCACTACTTCGGGTACATCGCCCACGCGCCGCCGTCGAACTTCACCGACGACTTCGACGACGCGCTGGAGTCCGCCATCCGCGAGTACCAAAAGAACTTCAACCTGAACGTCACCGGCGAGCTGGACGACGCCACCATGAAGCAAATCGTCCTCCCCCGCTGCGGCGTCGCCGACATCATCAACGGCACCAGCACGATGAACTCCGGCAAGTCAAAGTCAAACACGACAAAGTTCCACACGGTGGCGCACTACTCCTTCTTCGAGGGCAAGCCGCGGTGGCCCGAGGGGACGGAGGAGCTCACGTACGCTTTCGACCCTAACAACGGCTTAAGCGAAACCGTCAAGAGCGTGTTCGCGAGCGCGTTTGGGCGGTGGTCGGAAGTGACGACGATCTCGTTCAGCGAAACGGCGTCGTACGAGAGTGCGGACATTAAAATAGGGTTCTACAGTGGGGACCACGGGGACGGTGAACCGTTCGACGGCGTGTTGGGGACGCTGGCGCACGCTTTCTCGCCGACGAACGGGATGTTCCACCTGGACGAGGCGGAGGACTGGGTGGCGAGCGGCGACGTGACGGAGGCGTCGGTGTCGAACGCGGTGGACCTGGAGAGCGTGGCGGTGCACGAGATAGGGCACTTGCTAGGGCTAGGGCACTCGTCGGTGGAAGAGGCTATTATGTACCCTACGATATCGGCAAAGACAAAGAAGGTGGAGTTGAACGAAGATGATGTGTTGGGGATTCAGGAGCTGTATGGTTCCAACCCTAACTACACTGGGATTCCTTCTACCTCTTCGCGCGAGACTGATTCCAGTGACGCTCTTCGCAGTCTGGGA